GTTCCCTGTACAGTCAGTGTCACATGAACAGTGTGTCTCCTCTCTCTCTCTCAGCCACACAGTTCCATGTGACCGTCTACTTCCGAGGGGTCAAGGTTCGTGAGCATGAAGTGACCAATCCCAGGGGGTTCCGGGTGGTCTGGACGGACCCCTGTGCTGCTGTGGACCCTGAGGGCCTGGAGCTGGTCTCCCTGCCCGGCCCGGAGTTGCTCCTGGACCAGGGCCAGGCCAGGCTGACCCATCGGATTCTGGAGAAGCTGGGCGCAGGGCTGGAGGTGACCGTCCAGGGCCGGGGGGTGCGAGCTGCCCGCTGGGGTGACACCCACGCCTTCTGGAGCCTCTCCAGGTTCGACAGGAGCGGCCAGCCCAGAGAGGTGCCCAAGGAGAGAGGAGAGGAGCTGTACAGCATGGGAGAGTTCATCCGGGGTGAGAGGTCATCAGGGTCGGGGGGGAGAGTTCATCCGGGGTGAGAGGTCATCAGGGTCGGGGGGGAGAGTTCATCCGGGGTGAGAGGTCGTCGGGGTCGGGGGGGAGAGTTCATCCGGGGTGAGAGGTCGTCGAGGTCGGGGGGGAGAGTTAATCCGGGGTGAGAGGTCATCAGGGTCGGGGGGGAGAGTTCATCCGAGGTGAGAGGTCATCAGGGTCGGGGGGGAGAGTTCATCCAGGGTGAGAGGTTGTCGGGGCCGGGGGGGGAGAGTTCATCCGGGGTGAGGGGTCGTCGGGGCTCTGTGGCAAGCAGGCACAGCTTAGACAAGTCGGTTTGTCTGGGCGGTGTGGTGGATCTGTGGCTGGGAGGTTGCCGGTTCGAATCCCACAGCCGACAGAGGAATCCTACTCCGTCGGGCCCCTGAGCAAGGCCCTTAACCCCAGATCCTCCAGGGGCGCCGTATAAATGTCTGACCCTGCGCTCTGACCCCCAGCTTCTCTCCCTGTCTGTGTTTCTCATGGAGAGCAAGCTGGGGTCTGCAAAAAGACAGATTCCTAATGCAAGAAATTGTATGTGGCCAATAAGGTGATCTTATCTTATCGGGGGGGATCATCAGGGGTGAGAGGTTGTTGCGGGGAGGGGGAAACTTTGTCAGGGATGAGGGGTGAGAGGTCGTCGGGGGCATACAGAGGGAGAGAAAGTGACTGAGGAAGTGAGAGACCGTGGCAGAGGGATTCACAGCGCTGTGACCTTCGCAGGGCTGATTGGGTTCATGGAGCAGAAGGCTGAGTCACCTGCATACTCTGTGTGGTTCTGTCTGGGAGAGAAGTGGCCCGACCCAGATCAGAGACCCTGGGAGAAGAAGCTGATCATGCTGGAGGTGAGACAGGAGAAG